AATTCACTTTTTACATTCTAAAATATGCCAATTTACAGGTCAAGGGAAATGTGAATTGAACTAAATATGAAAATATAGATTTGAGATAGAATACTAACCAACAATTGTGAGATTTGTTGAGATGAAGAGTACATTAGGCGGAATTAGATGCCTGGGAAATTGAAAGATAGAACGTTGTTGAGATGGTGAGTATATCAGCTGAAGTCGGCATCTCTCAAATAGAAATAAAGATGTTAACTTTAGAGTTTGATGGCCCTTTTGGATAAAGATCAACTAAAATAAGTCATATTAAAATGACTAAAATGTGTATTGATTGAAATGACTCCAATCAATCTGCTATGTTCAACTGTAGCAAGGGATTAAGAATCTGTTATGTTAATGAACACATAATGAAAATGACTAAGAATATTGAAATTGCTATGTTAATAATCTCCTATGTTGAGATACAATTAATTTTCTCTCAAAGATGAAGCTGACAAAGACATAGAGGCCCCATTTTCATATTTTTCAGGCCTTTCAGCTAGGTGAAGAATATATGTTCATTAAAGCCATATCTATTCATTACAGATAGCATCCATTATAGATATGTAAATATGTTCATTAAAACCTAGTCTGTCAAGAATATATGTTAAATAGAGCAATATAGATATATTCATTACAGATAGCATTTATTGCATACATGTTCATTAAACCCATATATACGTGCATTACATATATTGATCTACTAAAGTGATGGTGAAAATCAATTAGAGTGAATGGTGAAAATCAATTAGAGTGAATGGTTAAAACCAATGAGAGTGAATAGTTAAAACCGATGAGATTGATGCAATAAAGTGATGTAAGTGGAACTAAAGATGTTAACTTTAACAAAAATCAATTAGAGTGAATGGTGAAAATTTACACCTTTTACTTTTAGGAATGTTAGACTTCTAATGCATACAATTGAGAAGGCATACAATTAGTGAATCTAATTCAAAAAGTTAACTACTAAAGAAAACACTAACTAAAATAGATGAGGTCTACATAATAGTTAAACAGCCTATTTTTAGATTTGATAGTCTTTAAAAAATGATCTAAGTTTAGACTGCATACTGTCTGGGCATATGTAACATAAGTAGCATACTCATAAAAAAATCTCTAAGTTCAGAATGCATTTTGCACCCGTTTTACTCAACCTGTAAGCTTTTAGTTAGTTATTTTTTCTTTTTATTGTTATCTTCTTGGGCTATGATTTAATGACTGTGTCACTTAAGCTCTAAGTTTTGGCTGCATTTTGCACCCTTTTTATTTAACCTTTAAACTGTTACTTTTTTTTTGCATTGCTATCTTCTTGGGCTATGATTTAATATAACTATAACTTGCTTATGATTTTCTTCAAGTATGAAAGCACATAACTAAATTGCCAGACCGCTGCTTACTTGTTTCAATTAAATTTGGATGTGTTATTAGATTCTAACAAATATATGCATACCTGTTTGGATGTCCGGCCAAGGTTTAAATTACTTGTGCTGAATACATTGTTGGAGACTTGAAATTGCATTAGCTCATGCATACCTGTAGAAGATCATATCTTAAATTATACTTAATAACTCCATCAAAATGCTCTTTCAACATACTAACCCCTTGCTAGCTTCAGGGAAAAATTACCTAATCTGAAATCTACCCTTGGGTCTTAGACTCTTAGATATGAGTATAGTTGTTCAATTATAAGCAGAATACTGAGTTGTGTACCTGTATATCAATAACGATTTTTATCTTATATATGAGCATATTTACCGATCTGGTTAATCAATGAAGTTTGTAAGGGTAGGAAGAAGAGCAAAACAGAAAAGGACAGGCCAGGTTACTAAGTGGAATTGCTAGGAGGTTGGCGATCGGAAGGGAAATCCGGAATTCCGAATACGGTGATCGATGAGGAGAAGAAATCCAAATGCACCAGAAATAATAGAAGAAAGTCTGAGAGTTTGAGGGAGAGTAGGCAATGCTTTGGAGCTGCGCAAAGGCCCTCGAATTAGGCTGGAAAAATCCGATAACAGATGAACAGATCTGTAATCGAGACTCCAACTTCAATGAGAAGTCTGGTGTTGAAGGATCCTGCGAGTTGAGTTCGAGAGCAGTAAGAATAAGCGAGTCTAATTACGAAGAATAAAATGTATTTACGCAAATGTCCCTAATTAGGAGCGGGAAAGAGACTTAAGTGGATTAATATATTTATAGATGTGGGTCACGTGAAAAAACGCGTTCAATGAAAGTCTTGCAATGAGAGTCTACAAACGAAACTTTAGAGAATACAATGAAACACCTCAAAAGAATTTGTTCTATGAGCTGTAAAAAGCTAACACCTACTCGGTAATTTTTTCTACACTACAAAGTTAAAAGTTTTTCCGTCTTTCAATTAATATTGTTCAAAATAAAAATGTTTGATCAATTGGTTTGGCTGACCATTTGATACTCGATCTCTAAATCTATGATAATAAAAATGTTTGACAAATTGGCTGACCATTTCGTCAATAAGCATTAAGGATTACAATTTTAATGGAATATGAATACAAGTATATATATATATATACTGTATCAAATCTTGTGAAGTAACGCATTTAACAATTAATGTACTAGCTAAGTATTGACTAGGTCTCTTCATGTTCAAGATGACGCCTATAATAAAATACTCTCACATGTAACTCAGTTGATTGAGTGGTGAAAAAATTGAAAAATAGACAAAAATCAAAACCCCCAATCGTCGTGTAGAGGTTACAGTTCATGTGTGCTAGGCTAGGCTTTTGGTGTAGACGGGTACAAAGTCTACCACCATTGGGCTAACTGAGTCACCGTGACTTACAACCTTCCAAATGCTTTACAGAAGATCCAGTGGCACACATTACAAAATTTCTGAGGATGTGCCAAACTTTCAAGATCCCTGGGCTAGATGATGATCAGGTACAGATGCTATTAACCCCTTTCTCATTGAGGGATGACGCACAGAGGTGGTTGGATAGCAATCCACATCACCACATTCAGACTTGGAATCAGCTGCATAAGACCTTCATTAAAGAATACTTCCCAACATCAAAAGCCATAAAGTTGAAGAAGCAGCTGCAGGACCTCAAGCAAGGCTCGTTGGAGACATTAGCTGAAGCATGGAAGAGATTTAAAGTGCTGAGAAGAGCTTGCCCTCAAGGCAAGATGACCGATAGTGAGATTCTATTTTGCTTCTATAGCAGAATCAGCAATGAAGGGAAGATGATGCTTGATGCTTCGGGTGGAGGAGCTTTTCCTCAATTACCATCTGAGGAGGCGGAAGAATTAGTGAAGAAGATTGTGTCTAATAATGCTTCATGGTACAACTCTCGGAACACACCTCACCAGAAGGCCCCGGGCTTGTACGAGATCAGTGAAAATTCTTCCCTTTCTGCGAGGGTAGATGCTTTGACTAGTATGATTCACAAGCTTGCTACCAGTGTGGAAGATAATCAGAGAAAGACGGATCTTGCTCGCTCGGTGCCCAGTGTTAATATGGTAGCCCCCGGTCCTATTAGTCCCTCTTGTACTATGTGTGGGGGACTCCATTCGCCGCATGAATGCACTATGATGTCACACTCGGCAGCCCCTGGAGTAGAGCAAGTGGACGCGATGTATTATCAGTGACAGGGCTACTACAATCAGCCCTACGAACAGCAGCAGCAAGGGAATTACGGGCAAGGAAATCAGCAGCAGCAGTCTAGGAACTATAACCAACAATAAGCATCTCAGCTAGTGCAAGAGAGCTTTAAGAGAGAGACTGAACAAAGATTTTCTAGCATAGAAGAAACACTCAAGAAATTGCTGCAATTTCAACAGCAACAAATGCAATCTCAACAACAATCTCAACAACAAGCAGACTCAAGGATGCAAATGACTGAGGCAAGGATGCAGAACATGGAGACTCAATTAGGGCAGATTTCAAAGGCTTTATCTGAGAGGCCTCTGGGATCCCTCCCTAGCAATACCGAGCCTAACCCAAGAGAACATGTCCATGCAGTCACCTTGAGGAGTGGAAAAGAGCTAGAATCCGCTGCCACGGAAAAGAAGCCCGTTGAAGTTAAAGACGTACCTGCTGTCCAGGAAGAAGAAAAGGAGAAAGATGAGGGAAGAGAGGTGGCGGCTGCACCAAAACAGCCCATTCCGGTTAAGAATTACTGTGACACCGCAGCCGAACATCCTTGAAAATTCAATTTAAATTCAAGTTTATGTATTGAATTTCCGATTTCCAAACAATTGTAAAATGGTTAATGTTTTACGTAGTGCATGATTGATTATCGTACTGTTCAACTCGTGTATTAGTGTCGGGTTTGCAAATACTTATTTGGGCCTTATTAACGAATATAAGAGCCCAACATTTTTCCCAAATAATGATACGTATCTTTTCAAGACAAGTTGAGGAAGTCGGGCGGCCCAGACATTATTTTGGGCTCAACCTGCTAAAATAGCAAGTATTCGAGAATGGTGTCGTAGTCCCACTCGGGGGTGACCCACACGGCTAGTAGTCCAATAATACGGATGACAAACGTCGAAATAAGTGATAGGATGATTTGAGATGAATACAAAAGCCTATAGCCCCATCTTTGACATTATTGAGCTAAATAATGGGAGTAGGATTTTTCCTTCTTTGATATCCATCAAGTAAATTATTGAGATGAGCCTACACATATTGGAGATCAATAATGTGATGTAATAAGTTGACTTTTTCTAAATAAATTAGGATGAGTACAAAAAGACATCTTTGACAAAGATAAAACAATAGGATCCATCTTCCCATTTTTGGAAGTATTGGTAGATATTTTGGACCCCAAAATAATTGGGATCAATTGGGAACCACTCCACATGATATTAGTACCTGCAAGACAAATAAAAATGAGTGAGAGGACTTACCTTGTCCGTCCATCAGGGAGAGGGGCTGCACAAGACTTGATAGACATCAAAGGTTGGGCCACCATCTCTATTTTCGCACAAAATGGTGTGCTGTTTGTCTGCACTCATTATGGTAGTTTTACTCGACCAAACAACGTGTATAAGGTGTCCTTGGACAGCCTTTTAAGTCTAGTTTCTTATTTGAGTGTCTCTGTTCCAGAAGGGAGAGTTTATCATACAAAAATCGAGCTGGAGTGAACTGCTGTCTGTAAACTCGAGCAGTGAGAGTGCTGAGCCTGTTTGAGTGATATCTCGAGTTATAAGAATCCAATCGAGGCGTGTAAGATACCAAAAGAAAGACCTCAAGACGAGGAATCCGTTAAGGTCTGGTTTGCATCAATCGGAGTAGTGGAAGGCTTCCAAATCGTCCGAGCAAAACACAACCTCGCAGAAACGGATCTAATCTTCTAAAGTGAGTTTTAACCCCAAAACCTTTCCCTTCATTTTCCAAATGATATGAACGATTGGTGGAACTATTATACACTACTATAAGTGTATAATATGTCCCTATTAAGTTATTTTATTGATGTAAAGGTTAGATACTAACCTAGAGCAAATGCTGGAAAACTAGGAAACGAGTTAGCCGGAAAACACCCATTCTAGGGGCTGTTTTCGTATCAACGATTAGGGGTTGAGATAGCACTTTGAGGGGGCTGTTTAACACTCATTTCTAAGCAAGGAATCAGTTCTCAAGCTTCTTTGGCCGAGGCTTTGGTCATTGGATTGAGAAGGAAAGTTTTAAAGCTCATTTGAGGTGAGGATCGACATCTAGTTGCTTACAACTTGTAGGTTAAGCATGAGATTACCTAAATGCCTAAATCATGTTTTCCATGGATTATGATGATAAATTATTGATGGAATATTGATCTATTTTCCAAAGAATGAAACGGAAAATGATTTGGTAAAGTATTGATAAAAATGGAGTTAAGTGAATGGTGTGTAGCATACAATGGGCAGACAACTATTTTTTACCCAAGGAAGTAGGGTGTCGAACCACAGAGAAGCAGGAAATAAAATAATTAAGCACAAACTAAGGATTAAAGTTGGGAGTGCGTTTCTTTTGATTTTTTTTGGTTGCTTGGAAAAGTAATAAACTAAAAGTGATTGAGATGAGAGATTTTTATCAATACAAAGTTCAACCAATAGCAAGTAGGGGTAGAAATTGGTAACTAATTATTCAATGTTTAATCGAAAGACATAATTGCTAATTTTATTCTTAGTTAGATTGTGAGAAGTTGTAGATAAATATTTTAGGACCCAACACAAGTCATCTAAAATAAGTAACTAGTCAACATTTCCCAGTGATGGCCAAAATGAGACTAGTTGTTTAAGTGCAACGACAACCTTAATTATTAACTATATTATTTACCCAACCCCGTGGTGTAAATAATATAATTAAATAATTAAATTCTCCCGTAAAACTTCAATCCAGGACAAGGTAAAAGAAGTTTAACGGCGTGTTTAGAAAGTGTCCATTTGTGTATTTAACAAACAATATGTTTATGATTGAGTACTCATAATATATATCACAAACATAACTTAATTAATTTTCTGGACACAACAATCTAAATAGAACAAACTTAACAGTTAAAATCAATACAAATTAAAACATGATAAGAACAATTAATTAACCAATTTCTAGCCCCAAATATATTTAGCTATACATGTTTGGAAGCATAGAAATAGATGAATCCATAATTAAAGTACAAGATTTAATGAGATAAGGAAGATCAAACTTGTGATAGATGACAATCCCTGAAGCTTTGGTGCTAATCTTGACTTAATCTTGGATAAAGAAGTGATTAATTGATGTTGAAGATTGGTTGATGATTTGGAGGTGAAGAATGAAGAGAGAAGGAGGAAATGATTCTGGGAGTTGTAGAGAGAAGTTGGCTCCAGATTCTGTGTGGAAGGAGATGGATTAAGTCTTATAATGATAAGATAATTAATCATTAATTTGCTGGAATTTACGGATGTGAAGAGTAAATGTAAAACAAAACGCAGTAAAGTTCCAACAGTGCGTAATAGCCCAGTGGACGAAGTGTTTAGTCATGTAGCAGAGGTCGCGGGTTCGATTCTGGCTTCAGACTTTTGTTCCATTTTTCTTTGATGTGGTCACAAGCAATATATAAACTGTCGGCTGATTGTGTACAACATTGGCAAGTTGGCTCACTGGTTCTGAATGGTTTTCCTCTACTTGTGGTTCAAGGATTGAATCCCATCTCCATGTTTTCATATTTTTGCTTCTTAACTTCAATTTACTCCTTATTTGCTTTGAAAGAAATTCCACTTTTATTGACCTCCAACTTGAACTTTTATTTTCTTCTTTTCTTCACACACAAATGTATCAAATGGTATCAAAAACACATGAAAATACAAAATACATGCATAGAACTACACATCGTACAAAGTAACGATAAATAATAAAAATATGTACAAATATACAAATTAAGTGACCAAAATTATTAACAAACTAAGCCTAAAAAGTGTGTAAAATACAAGCACATCAAATCCCCCACACTTAGGCTTTTGCTTGTCCTCAAGCAAAATAAACAACACACAAAAATATACACAATTTGGTAAAATTTACAAACATAACTAAACAAATCACACATACACCTCTAATGTCCATTAAACGGTCCAATACCCTGAAATGTCACAAAATAACTCAATGAGAGTAAACCGAGTATTATTGCCTATCACTAAGATTTTCAAATCAAACTTTTAACATAAACACCTATAGATCTGAATTAGTTTGGGTTATGCAGAACAAGTTTCTCCAATTAACTTAATTCAATAAAATGACACAAATAGATCAATTAGGACTTTTCGGGTTTTGGCAAGGTTAATGACGTGGCTAGTGGAAAGAAAGGTTTGGTGTAGGGATTTACAAAGAGAGTTAGATTGCACTTATAGTGAGCGGATAATCACATGAATTTACAAGAACTTGGAGCATACAAAACAATGAGAAATATAAACATGAAAAGGAAGTAAAAAATGGGGTTTTACAGAAGAAATTACAACAAGAAATTAATGTGCCTCTTTGTTTTTTGTTTTTTTTTTCTTTTTTTGTTTTTTTTTTCTTTTTTTTCAAAGAAGGCACACACTAAATATTAAAATGAAAAACTAACCCCAAAATTTACAACAAGTATGGACTTCACTAATATGACACTTAAGAGAAGCTTCATTTTATCCACTCTCAAGTAACAATACAAACTACTCTAGGGTTGAAACAAAAATGACTTGGATAGGATTTCACAAGGTTATGTATTTACAAGGTCACAAGAAAAATTAGTAACAAGTGAAGTAAGTTATTTTACACTTGTACACTGAAAAGGCTCAAACAGGGTTACTAGGGAAAGTGTTATTTATTTACAAAGGGATAGTGTTTGGCTTGATGGGTAAACAAAGATGGCCTAAATCATTTCTATTGTGTCAAGTTCAAATAAAATTTCCAAGGAGAATAAATGTATAAACATCTTAAACTGCATAAACTTTCACTAATTCAACTATTAAACCAATAAATTGGAAAAATAAAATTTAAGGTGTTTAATGTTAAATTGTTAAAAAGAAACAAGTTCAAAGCTCATACTAAGTTACTCTCAAAAAATTACAGTGACACTTCTCAAACTCAAACCACATTTTGTCAAAAGAGGTGAATGAATAATTTAAAAAGTTATGGAGGTAACTAGTAACAAAAAGTGTAAACTAATGTGTTGTTGGTCTATTGTTACATTTTGGACAAGACTGGTCTTTATTCACAAAAATAAAAATAAAAGAAAATAAAATCACACAAAAAACCAACACGTATGTGTATTCAGTTGGCTGACCGTTCAGTCAAATATCCTAAAGGTATAGTTGAAGACGTGTTGGTTAAAGTGGACAAGTTTATTATTCCTGTAGACTTCGTTATTTTGGACATGGATCAGGATCGTGAGGTACCTATAATTTTGGGCAGACCATTCTTGGCAACTACCCGAGCACTTATTGATGTTGGAGACGGTAAGTTTGTCCTCCGCATTGGGGATCGGATGAGACTGCCACCTTTGATATGTCCAAAATAATGAAGAGGCCCTGTCAGGATAGTGGAGAGTGTTTTTATTTGGATAACATAGATTCTATGGTGGAGGATTGCACTCCTAACATGCTTTCCAATGAAGCCCCTTTCGACATTTTATTGGAGGAGAGTATGTCAGCAGAGGATCTTGAGCCCCTCCCTAGCTTTGATTGTTTTATGATTAGTGGAGGGGAGGATCCAAGTGGTGTTAAGTCTGTGCGAGAGACGAGAGATAATTTAGATGAGGTGGAGAAGAAAATTTTTAAGTCTGATTCACTCTTTGAGTTTGATTGTGTTAATGACACTCCTGACTCCCCTGTTATTCTTGCATCCAGGCTTGAGCCATCCCAAAATTCAATATGTTTTAATTTACTTAGTGAACAAAGGAAATCTCTAGCCCGGAAAACTTCTGACATAAAAGGGATCAGTCCATTCTTTAACTCATTCTTTGCAAAAGGGCCTGATAAAGGCCTAGACCCATTCTTCTGTTGTACGGGTGATCCTGAGATGCACAATCGATTTCATGAATTTAAGGTCTTACGTCATCTTAGATCATTTGTTGATTGGTGTTTTGCCTTGTGGAAGACTAGTTTTCTAAGCAAGAGTGTCTTTAACTGAGTTTTGATGTGGTGGTTTCGTCGGGCAAACGATGTTAAAAATAGCGCTTCTCGGGAGGCAACCCGAGCTTAATTTTTGCTTTTGTAGTTTAGCTTTACTGCTTTAAAAAAACCCACAAAAACCAAAAGAGAGAGAGAGAGAGAGAGAGAGAGAGAGAGAGAGAAGCTGATTCGAGGCAGGCACGGTCGTGCCTATCTTCAGGCACGTCGTGCCTGATAGGAAGAATCGAAGGAATGGCTACTGGGAGCCAGGCACGGTCGTGCCTGGCATGATTCGAGGAACATGGCTACTGGGAGCCAGGCACGGTCGTGCCTGGCAGTTAGGCACGCCGTGCCTGGATGAAATTACCACCTTACCCCGCGTTTTAAGCATAACCCAGCCCCCTTTTTCCCCTTTTCTCTTACGCGACCAAACCTTCACTCCCCTCCCCTGCGATTTTTCTCGGCCAACGAAGACCAACCACGAACCGCCACCACCGCAGTCCACCGCCGGCGACCACCGCTACTGTGACCGAACCCCTCTCCTCTTCCCTCTCTCTTCAATCAAGGTATCTTCTTCTTCTCTCTTCTTCTTTCGCCATTAATGGAGGTTTTTGACGCTTTTTGAAGTCCGAAAATTGCATGTGCTCAAATCGTAGGGATTTTGATTTTCATGTGTCCATTGAGGTTTGTGTTGTTGCTATTGATGTTCTATGATGATGAATTTGACTCTTTTGTTTGAAATCCCTAATTTTTGAGCTAATTTAGCCAATTTAGGGTTAATTTTGATGAATGTTTGAAAATTTGGGGATTTTGTGGTTGTTGCTTGAATTAAGGATTGAATTGTTGATGGAGATCATGTGTAATTTTTGTTGAGGCTATTTGAGCACAAATCCCCAATTTTTAGGCCAAACCATGTCAAATTTGAGAATTGAGAATTCTTCCCCTATTTTGATATTTTTAATTTTTTTGGGAAGAACTTCATTCTACAAACACTGTTGTGATGAATGATGCTTGCTCGTGACCTTGTTTATGCCGTGTGTCGTTGAAAACTTGAATTTTATTCAAAGAACCTTTCTCTGATAAAAGTTCAAACTTTTCAACTATTCTGGTTAAACTTATGTTTTCTTTTTGCATATTTAGATGTTGGCAGATCATTGTTGCTGACAAGGCTATTCTTTACTATACTTCAGTCTAACATCTTGAAGCCCCGTTGGAATTCTTTTGTTTTCACTGTTTTTGCATATGGCTCGCACAAAGAACTCCACGCGCGCTTCTCACACCGCAGTTGCTAGCTCTAGCCGCGCAGAGGGCACACGAGGCACACGCTACCAGCCCCAGTTTGACACGGATAAGGAGATGCTGACATACTTAGTGCTGATGAAGAAGAAGGTGGGTACGATGTACCACCCAGACGAGCCCACACTAGTTGTAGCGGAACCCACACCGAGGGATGAGGTGATGCATTTGATACGAAGAGGTTGGTGGCAGCATTTATTTTTCAGCATCCAAGAGCCGACTTACAAGGAAGTCACGTGTGAGGTGCTAGCAACAATTGACCTCCCAAAGCTCATACCGTAGAGGGACTATCTCAAACTGGGAATCAAATTCCAAGCCTTTGAAGACAAGCTTGACACTTCTCTTAGTCAGATTGAGCGCTACTTGGGCTTCGATGATGTTGAAGTAGGACAACGGGATGAGATTGGCCTTTGTGACCTCCCCCCTCCCGTGAACAGACAGGCTTTTTGGGAATCGATTAGCAGAGGGGGCAAGACTTATAAGCCTCGGGAGACCCCAGCCACACTTCTTTACCCTCAGAAGTTCCGAGTTATCCACGCACTACTTGCTTCTACCGTGACCGGGAGGGCCGAGGTTGGGGCCAAAGTTTCTACCACTGACCTGTTATGCCTCTACTGCATGGTTCATAACAAGAAGCCCTGCATGGGCTCTATCATTGCTAGCCTCTTCCATCGCCAATCCACAAACTGCATGCAGGCCCTATACTCCGGTCCATACATTACACGTCTTCTGCGAGGGATGGATTATGGAGATCAGTTCAGAGACATGGAGGTTTCTTCTAGTTTTCTTCCGCTGACCATACTCCCGTCCATGAATACGGGACTTGGGGCTAGACTTCAGCGGAAGGCTGACCACGCAGCAGGAGGAGGAGGAGGACAGCAGGTAGACGATGATGATGACGAGGATGACCATGACGATGATGACGATGATGAGGAGATGGAGGCAGCTACACCCGAGGTTCCCTATGATGCACCCCCCTACGGCACCACTTTTCCCGATTCTTGGGCGAGGATGCATGCGCATCATGATGCCGTGTACCATCAGTTGTCTACTGAGCAGCACGAGCGGTTCGACCAGATGCGCTTTGAGCAGCAGGACTTTTATAGAGAGATGAGGGAGGACCAGGCGATGCATTACACACAGCTCCAGTCCCAGTACACGCAGATCGATGAGCGACTCACTTCTCTGGAGTCTAGCTGGAGCTCATTCTTTGAGGCATATCCCCCTCCTGAGTATTAGATTTGATTAGATTGTCCTCCGCTAGCCTCCGTATCATGATTATGTTGGATGACTATACCATAAACACTCTCACACCCTCACACTCTCCCTATTACACTTGACTTTCTATCTTGATATGCTTTGTGTTTCATGATGTGTTGCAGCTCAAACAAATGCTTAGTGGATGATGTGCCGCGCAATCAAAGACCCAGTTTAGTTCCCTACCGACCAACGCTATAGGGAAGTTTCCATGACTCTGTTTACTCGCTGCGTAATGTTAACTTGAGTTGATTTTGAGCACGTGTGACCCTTTCCTCTTTACCCCTAGTGCATAGTGCATATTTGGTCATCGAGGGCGATGCCAAAGTTTAAGTGTGGGGGAGTGAATTGGGCATTCGGGCAGTAGTTGTTACATGTGATTTTTAGAGTTAGCATGCGCAGGTGTTAGTTGTATATTCATAGGAAATTCATGTCAATTTTTTGAAATTTTTTCTTTAAACTGTGTCTTTGTGAGCTGGCTAGCGCTTGACTATGCTTTTAGAATGTCCTTAAAGTATTTAGGCTTAAATTGCTTGCATGTTAATCTGGTTATTTAAAGGATAAAAGCATTAGTCACCCATGTAATGAATTGATAATTTTCCCATCCACTTGAATAAGACCCTTTAGGAGAAGCCACTTTGAGCCTGACCGTTCTTTGTTAGCCCAATTAATTGAGCTCCATAGCCAAATGACCTGTTTTCCTTACCCGTGAATATTTTTGGCTTAGTCTTGATGTTTACAGAATTAAGGGATGAATTTGCTAAGGTTAGGGAATTTTGGGTAGGAGCCGTTTTTGGCACTATTCCTATACCCCAAATGGGGTAAGAGCAGTCATTTTTTAGGAATTTGATACTTTCGAGGATTGCATTGTAGGCATGGATTCACTTTTAAATTATTGAACTTTAATTTCTATTTTTCCTTGGTGAGGCCAAGATTAGAATGAGGTAAGGTCTAGTGAGAATCCGAAAGGTGAAAAATTAATATAGCTAGACCTCTTACTTTGCGAAAAAGGGAATGAGAGCCCCAGTCAAAAAGCGTAAGATGAGACTTGGGTATCTTTCGAAAGAAACGGCGTTCTCGTGCCAACATGACAAGGAAAACTAAACATAATTAATGAACTTGGAGGATATTCCAAAAATTAGCTTTAGTCCTCCGCGTACTTCAAGTATACGTCAAAGCACAAATGTGTCGAGACGGTTTAGCTTAGTTGTACACCATGTCTACTCTTTGCATAGGATTAAATAATTGTTCCTAAATTGTGGCCTACTGAGTTCCTTGTTCCTAAGAATAGCCCTGAAGTTTCTGAATACATTGAGTCTTTGTTAGAATATTCTAATCTCTCAAAAGAAAGGGACTATTATTGTTAACCATTCACCACCAAATTCACAAGTCCTTCTGATTAATAGCTAGTTTATTTGTGTAGGCTGTCATTACTTTGAGGATGTTGTGAATAATTGTGTCAAATAGTTTAGCTTGAGTACAAAGATGTAGTTTAGGGAAGAATTTTCTTGGTTAAGATTGTCTGTCATGTGAATATCCCTTTAACTCCGTGTGCATGCTAACTGTTTTAAATTCCGTGTGGTGATTATCGTAAGTCCCGGTGTTCGATTTGCTTGAGGATAAGCAAAAGCTTAAGTGTGGGGGAGTCTGATAAGTAATAACCTAATATTAAATTAGGAAGTTTATGTATCTTTGGAAACTCTTTTTAGTATAAATATATCTGCCAGGTACCCTATTAGGGTAACCTCTTTCCCATTATTTCACATGGTATCAAGAGCCAAAAATTTCTTTTTCTCTCTCTCCTAAAACCCTCAATTTTTTTTTCGGCCATGACCTCTGCCACAGACGTCTCCACCGCCGAGACTATGCCTTCTTCTGCCGCCATCTTTTCCTCTTCAATGGTGGCATCCACTAATGCTTCTTCTTTCTCCACTTCGGCGCCGGTATCCGCTTCTTTTACCGATGCAGCCAGCGTTTTCACCAGCATCGAGCCGCAGCAGCAAGGGATGTCTGCACCAATGGAGTCGATAGTTCATCCTCTATCTTCCTCCTTCACGATCGAGACTCCTGGAGCATACTCCTTGTTTCAAACCATCCCCTCGGCTCTTCCATGGCAGACGCCTGCTATACCCAATGTTCCTGGCAGTTTCTTCTCCAACCCGCCTCCTGCTGTCACGCCCCAACCGCAGTCAACTCCAGCATACTTTGATTCCACCTTCTCCGGTGTACCGGGATTGTCCAGGCCGCCAGAACAGTCTCTGTTTCAGTCCCCGATGGCAGCCATATCTCAGTCTATTTCCCCGGCCAACAACGTTACTCAGATTGTTACAATCAAGCTTAAAGCGGTGGAAGACTACATCACATGGCGCACTCAGTTTGAATCTTTTCTCGTCTCTCAAGGTGTTTTTGGCTTCTTGGATGGTTCCATAAAGGTACCTCCGATGCACACAGTTGATTTTAATAATCATCAAATAATTAATACTGACTACTATCACTGGTTAAGGGTTGATCAAACAATTCGTTCTTGGATTTTTGCTACTCTTACTCGTGATGTATTAATTGATGTGCATGAACTTAAGCACTCCTTTGAGATTTGGGAAAGATTACAAAATCGTTTTCGTTCTGCCAGTCTGGCTAAGGCAATGACACTTAGGCGGTTGTTGTCTAATGTAAAAAAGAAGGAAAATCAGTCTATGGAAAATTATTTAAGAGAAATTCATGTGTTAGTGAGTGAATTAGCTACAATAAATTCTCCTGTGTCCAATAAAGAAGTTCTTCAGACCACTCTTATGGGGCTCGGACCGGAATACGAATCCACCATGGGCACTATTTCTCTGTTTCCTGATAATTTTCCCCCCGACATCCTTCACCGGAGCTTGTTAGAGGCCGAACAGAGGGTTCTATATCTACGTCATCAGGCTGCCCCATCTGCTTATCAAGCCTTTGGTGTCCAAGATCGGGAACATGTTCCACGTGGAGGCCGCGGTGGCCGCGGTAGGGGCCGTGGCAGAAACAACCGCGGCAGAGGCCGTGGTTCTAACCAATATGGCCAACAGCCCATTCTCGGTCAGGGCCAGCAGTCAGCTCCCCAACAAGGTCAGCAACCGGGGCAGTATCATCACCAGCAAGGTTTCGGCCAGCATCCTAGGGAGCAGCAGCAATCGAGACATCCGAATGCAGGAGCCATGGGTAATTCTATTTTGTCCACTTTAAATACTACTGCTATATTATATTGTGGTACTAATGTTAAATCTGCAGGCTCTTCATCCACCGAGGGAATTCTTGGGGCCATTCCCCCACCCGTTGTGTGTCAAATTTGTTTTTCTGCAGGCCATTCTGCAATCAGTTGTCCTTCTCGTTTTTCTCCATCTACTGCACCTGTTCTTCTCACCGGTCAAGCTAATGAAGCTCTGTGGTATCCAGACACTGGTGCCTCTGCTCATATGACTTCATCTGAAGGTATTTTGACAAATAAATCCACTTATTCTGGACCAACTATTGTTAGTGTCGCTAATGGTGCTCAACTTCCTATCAAACATGTTGGTGATATTTCTTTAACTTCCTCTGGCCGCCCACTGCTGTTGAAATCTGTTTATCATGTGCCTAATATTAAATTCAATTTAATTTCAATTCAAAAATTGTGTGCTGATAACAACTGTGTTGCTATTTTTGACAAAAATTCCTTTTTTGTTAAGGACAAAATTACGGGGGCGGTTCTTCTTCGGGCAACAACTAATGGCCATCTCTATCCTCTCAGCCTGAGTCCACCGTCTGGTCTAGCTTTATCTTCAGTTCTCACCACTGGCCCTGTGTGGCATCGTAGATTAGGTCATTGTGGTGAAAATATTTTACGTATTTTAAGTGGTCAAAAACGCATATGTAATAGCTCTAGCTTTTCACATGATTGTATTTCGTGCCGATTAGGCAAGTCCCAACGATTACCTTTTTCTGATGCTATTCATACTTCTTCCTATCCGTTGCAATTAATTCATTCTGATGTGTGGCAATCTCCTGTTCTCTCTAATTTGGGGTTTAAATACTATGTCTGCTTTATCGATGATTTTTCCCGTTTCACATGGATTTATCCATTGCGCACAAAAAATGAAGTTTTTGACTCCTTTAAAATTTTTAAATCTTTAGTCGAAAATATTTTTGACTCTAGAATTAAAATTTTTCAAAGTGATGGAGGGGGTGAATTTGTTAATTCTCATATGCAGCATTTTTTTGATACTCATGGAATTTATTTTCAAAAATCATGCCCTCACACTCCTCAACAAAATGGGCTTGCTGAGCGTAAACATCGGCATCTACTTGAACTTACTAGGACTATGCTTATTGAAGCATCTCTTCCTAGTAATTTTTGGGTGGACGCGTTGTTTACAGCGGTATATATTATTAACCGATTACCCACTCTAACACTATCTGGTCTCTCTCCTTATGAAAAACTTTTTCAAAAATCTCCTGACTATTCTCTTTTACGTGTGTTTGGTTGTGCGTGCTTTCCCAATATATCTGCCACTTCCTCCAATAAACTTTCTCCTCGATCCATTCAATGTGTTTTTCTCGGATATGCATCTGGTTATAAAGGTTATCGTTGTCTAGACCCTAAGTCTGGCAAGGTTTACATTAGTCGTCATGTGCGTTTTTGTGAAAATATTTTTCGATACACCACTTTGACTTCATCTCTGAATGCTTCATATTCTTCTTCCCAATATCTCTCCGATACATCTTACCTAAGTTTTTCTTCCTGGACCCCTTCACATGCTCACCCACGTTCCATTTCTTCTGTACCAGTCCAACCATTGCAGCAGTTGAGCCCACATCAACCAAATACCAAACCAAGCTCCCTGCCCATCACTGCCAGCCCACCACCACGTCCTACCATCCCACCTCCCGTTTTCACACCCTCAATCCAGCCCATGCTAAACCAGCCCTCCTCCTTTCCTAGCCCAGCCCCTTTCCTTATC